TGTTTATTACATTTAACCGAATAATCACTAACAGAACATTCAAGTTTTACTTTCAACTTTCAATGTCTAACTTCAACTTCTCAAAATCTAACCCCTATTGTTCTCTGAATTCCCGTAACTTTCAGTTCTGCGTAAGTTGCCACAAAGATTAGGACTTAGATGCCATTTTCAATTACCCGGATTCGGCTGTTTTTAACTTCGAAACTATGCCGGAGCCGAATATTTGGCCGGGTACCCGTGCATCCCTACTCAATACCAAATACCAGCAACCTATTGTCAATAATGTTATTGTTAGTTTTAAGCCTAACGCTTAAGAACCAATTATATTAGTTTTTTCACTACTTTGTGTTCACACTAAAGTAACTAAGTTTATATTTAATTATAATATAACTTAGAAATAGAAGTCTTTACTTTGATATATACATAATGTTAATAATACAATGTATTTTGCTTGATTTATATTATAACCTACCTATAACTATAAGCTGAATTTAAACTAATGGATCTAAGTTCAAGTAAACAAGTTAATCCTTAAAACATGAAGAAACAATAAGCTAGTCTTTAGCTTGTATTTATTTAATGAAACAACGTATTTAACCTGTTTTACGATTTACCAGTAAGTTGAAATATGCCTAAGCCTAAGGTACCGTTACATGTACTAAGCCTAATTTAACGTTGTAGTAAAATTTACACCACTAAACTCTAAGTTAAAACATTGAGCTTCTTACCTGTATTTACCAATTTTACTAAATCTAGTTATTCTTTTGTTATTTATCCTCAATTACTAAATATTATAATATTAATATTAAATACTTTTCAAAAATGTGTAAGAGTTTACTTCTCAACGTCTTCTCTCTTCCGCAGCACCCTGTACTATATATATATCGCTCATGTATCATCAATAATCACAGATATAACACCGAAATAATAACACATGCAGTATCTGTCACCACATATATATGATCAAAAATAATCAGACGCGCAGCATCAGTCATCACAGATATAACCGTTCTTGAAGTATTAGCATAGATATAACACTGAAAACAACCACACATACACCATCAATCAGCACAGACATAAAACCAAAAATAATTACTCATTCAACATTAGTCAGCACAGATATAAAACCAAAAATAACACATATGCAGCATCCATCATCAGGATATAATATGTGAACTTCGAAAAAATTTTTTGAAAATCCAAAGGTTTTTTCTTCGGAAATAGAATTACAAGTTCATCTTTGGTCTTCTTGTATCTCAATGTGTTCCCAATTAAAGAATATATATATATATATATAAACACAAGTTCACTCTCTCTGGCGGTGACCTTATTACACCGTGTACATACATTTACTGAATACCAATGACTCAGAAGCTGTCTGTTCTCCATAGTTTAATAATACTTTAATATAGCAGCTAACAGGAAAGGCGTCAATAGTCGTGAGAGTAAGTGTTATTTACATTGCCAGAAACTTAAAACATTCAATCTGCTCTTCGAACTACCATGTCTGCTCTTAAAATATGCTGAGGTTTATCACTCTTTCTTCCTTGCGTCGCTGTTTTCTTTGTTGGGAACACTTGTACAATATTATCCAGACGGATATCCATCACATATTATTTTAACTGTTTAAAATCAGCTATGCGAGTATTGTGGTCCTACTCTCAATAGAGCAATACTGTGTTTGCCATTGAGCAACCGATTCTAGGCTACCTAATGCTACTATTTCTAGTAGATTCCAATTATAATATTTGCGGCTCATGACCTTCGTGACAAAGTGCATCTAAATAAAATGTTTGTGCAAGTAGTAGCTGTCCGTTCTTTTCACTGCTCAAAATTCGGTAAGTGTGACCACTGTTATTTCCGTTCTGTGTAATTATTAGTATTTACTTCTCAAATTCAACTAAGATAGTGTTTGGAATTCAGGAAGCAAAGTTACCTAGTCCGTCTAACGAGATAATTTGACGTTATGAAACAAATGGTAGACTTACAGTGTTGTTCTGATAAACTGCAATTAAAGAAGAGTTAAAACTAGATTCAATGGAGTCATCGAGGGTTTACTACTATCACGCCGTTGTTTTGAAGCTCTTACTATTTAAAATTCCTTGCGCGCACTTGCAGATACTGATCAAGACCTGGGACTTAAAGAGGTTGCGTGTGGAACATGTCACGTGACAGGGGGCTGGGAGGGGCCACGTGCTACTGGTCCTTGCGCGTTCACCGAAAGGTGCATTAGTCTATTACTCTATGTTGTCAGGTATCACTCTAAATTATAGGGGAGACCTGACATAACTTTGTTTCATATTTCTTTTTGTCTATACAACTTTTTACATACGCATCTCGCCCACTGAGGACATACGATTCGAAATCACCCACATATTCGCGTTGTCCCCCTGGGGAGGAGAGAAAACAAGACCACACTAATAATTACGAATGGTTTTACCGTACCTCACCAAGTTTCTGCCTCAAGAGGAGATGCCTAACTCCTACTTAAGCATAACATTCCCTTGAGGATGATGACCGATTGGTTTTGGCTGCTTTTCTATGAATATGAACGACAATGTTTGTAGCTTTTTCCTATCGATCTCAATGAAATCTGCAGCTGTTTGAGATTAATTTTTTATGAATTTTAATCTTACTCTAACACTATTTAAAACTGCCTTTTAAGGGTGTCAGTAACATTATTAAAGACTGCTATTTATGTCATTGACATGATTTAAGATTGGCATTTATGGGTATCAATGACATTATTTAAGATTTCTATTTATGAGTGTCGTTGATATTATTTAAGACTGCTATTTATGGATGTCATTGATGTTATTTAAAACTGGCATTTATGGGTGTCATTGACAAAATTTAAAATTGGCATCCATGAGTATCATTGACATTATTTAAAACTGCTAACCATGGATGTCATTGACATTATGACATTATTTAAAACCGCTACTTATGAGTTTTTAACGACATTCTTACAGCATTTAGTATTGTTACTTATTGATTTTAATATGATTTTGACATTATTTAGAACCGTTATTTACGGGTTTTAACGCGATTCTGACAGTATTTCAGACTGTTATTTGTGGATCCTAAAGACACTTTAACAGTATTTAACAGTGTTATTTTACGAGTTTTAATGAGATTTTGAAATTATTTAAAACTGTTATTTACATATTTCAACGTGATTTGGGAAGTATTTAACTTGCTAATTGTGCGCTTTAGCAAAATTCTGACATTATCTAAGACCGCTATTTATGGGTTCTATTATGATTCTGACATTATTTAAGAATGGGTTTTATTGTCATTCTGACATTATTTATGAATTTTAGTGTGATTCTGACATTATCTTAGACTGCTATTTATGAGTTTTATTGTTATTCTGACAGTATTTATGAGATTTTTTATGATATTTACATTATTTAAGACTGTTATTTGTGGGTTTTAACGTGATTCATACACTATTTAGGACTACTATTTATGGGCTTTAACATGATTTTGACATGATTTAAGACTGCTATATATGGGTTTTAATGTGATTCAGACATTATTTAAGACTGTTATTTATGGGTTTTAACGTGATTCATACATTATTTAGGACTGCTGTTTACGGGTTTTAACGTGATTCAGACATTATTTAGGACTACTATTTATGGGCTTTAACATGATTTTGACATTATTTAAGATTGCTATATATGGGTTTTTATGTGATTCAGACATTATTTAAGACTACTATTTATGCGCTTTAACATGATTTTGACATTATTTAAGACTGCTATTTGTGGATTTTAATGTGATTCTGTCATTATTTAAGACTGTTATTTGTGGGTTTTAGCGTGATTTTTACATTATTTAACATTGCTATTTATGGGTTTTAACGTGATTCAGACATTACTTAAGACTGCTATTTATGTGTTTTAACGTGATTCAGACATTATTTAAGACTTATTTGTGGGTTTTAACGTGATTTTGACATTATTTAGTACTGCTATTTATGGGTTTTAACGTGATTCAGACATTACTTAAGACTGCTATTTATGTGTTTTAACGTGATTCAGACATTACTTAAGACTACTATCTATGGGGTTTAACATTGAATTTGATATTATTTATAGGCTTTGATGACATTCTGATACTTAACTCTTGATTTATACATAGTAAAACTAAAAAGGTGTAGTAAAAATTGAAAACGTTCCTGTTCACTAATCATTAATAACATATTCAAATATCACCTACGTATGATCATAAATTTCTTTGTAGATTGTGTTTTGCAGTACATAAGATGGTTATCTTGACTACACATAACATACTTTGTCTTAAACAAGATTTTATGTACAGGTTGCTAGATATATATAGCTGTTCTCGATAATTCACCTTCTTCAGTTACTAAGAAAAAGTAAATAAAATAATAAAACCTGATATTCGAGTTTTGTTATTGTTAGTTTGTTCCAATACAGAGCGTAATAAAAGTAAATTTAACAACAGGGTCTTCCTCTAACCTATGTCTTGCAACAGAAGCAATTATCATCGTTTTAAATACATATAAATTATTTATTTAAATCAGAGTTGATACAGAATCAAATAGAAATATACAGTTTGAAATACTGGATGGGAAAATCTGCGTAGTACATTTAATCTATAAAACCCAACATTTCATCAAAAAATATATGTACAATTTCAGCAAAATATTGAATATAAAAAAACAACAACAAGTCGTAGAAGTTCAAGACTATAATCATACAAGTATTAAGCCTAAAATATTTCTAAAATTACGTTCTTTTAAATGAAGTCACTAAAGCCGAATGGGATTTAACAGGTCTATTGCGTTTGAGAGGAACAATTATAATTCACAAACTTTTTGTCAACTTCAATTTTGTTTTTTATTCTTGCTGATAGGACACTTAACCACTTCATCTCAGTAAGAAATATGTTAGTTTTATTTTAAATGCGTCCATACAGTATTCTTATTTTTCTGAAACATACAACAGAGAAGTAAAGGAAAGACTTACCTTTTAACCTTTTCACTTTCGCTACACTAGTCTTGCCACACCGGTACTTTTCTTCAATCATTGTCACATAACTACACGGAAAATCATCCACGCTTTCAATATCGTAGTACTCCGCCTTTCCGTAAAGTAGTGCGTCGATTTCCTCTTCAAGCATGCAGTCTGGAATTAGAGTCGAATCTGACTCTAAGTTTGATCTCAAACTAGCGCATAAGGAATCTTTCAAAATAGATTTGGAATGTTTTTTTCTGATGCGTGGACTGTTTAAACCAGTTTGTTTCTTGGTTAAAGATGTAACTTTAATATCGGTATCGAATCGCACTGTCTTCTGGTACGTTTGAGGTCCAGCGGGTAATGATAATGAAGCTGAACTACTATTTCCAGATATTTTATTTTGAGGAGTACTATGATCGGTGACTTCTGGGACGTATGGGCTGGCCCTGCTCCTGCCAAACTGGGATGATCGCTGATGCTTAGGGCTATGGCTATTACTACTACAACTGACTTTGGAAGAGGAATCACAGGAGCGATTGGCAACTGTCGGGCTACCATCTCTCGAGGAAGACGATACTGATTCACATTTCTGGATGGCACTAAGTAAAGATTGTCGTAAATACATTAGGTGGTCAAGGTTAACGTCATACAAACCTGATTCAGATCGCCGAGAGCCAATGGAATTCCCATGCTGATGTCTTTGGCATTGCCTTCCCATGACCTTTGTACCCATTATGATTTTTGGTTTGACACTATCCTTGGCTTTCTTAAAAGAGGAATTGGTATTCGATGCATCTGTAGCTGTTCCTCCTCGATTGGTTGTACAGGAACCATTACTAAAGCCTGGGGTGCAAAGGTTTCTGCCTTCTGCTGCATAGTAAGAACAATCTGGGATTTCCGGTGTTGGACAAAGGCTCTTATAGCCACTATCAATAGAATTGGAGCCAGCGTATCCAATAGAATCCTTGTCTCCGTCGCCGTGATGATGATGTTGAGTAGATGGAAATCTTCTTGACTTTTCTTCTCCTTTATTCTTGACCGTAAGGCGGCGCTGTTGGTAGACGGTCGCCAATTCATAGTAATCGTCTGAGTCACATGGATCATACGTCAGTACACTAATAGTATCGAGCAACGGATTAGATGAAGGTTCTGATCGACTGCGAAGGTGTTGAAGATGAGTCTGTCTTTGAGAATGATGTTTACTTTCGTTCATTCTCTTCCGCCTGACTCCGGGAGATCCGTAAATAGATGACACACGGTGGGGTTGTCTGGCCAACCGGACGTCGGGAAGAGATGATCCTCGAGAAACTATTCTTTCTGTGCTGATTCGAGTGACCGTTGTCTTGTCGACGTAGGTGTGAGGAAGGAACAATCGCTTAGTCTCCTCGTCGTCACTCAGGTTTTCTTTAAACTGTAACCTTTCCGTGTGAAGATCTAAATGGTACACAACCAATTCTTCAAACGTGGCATACATATGCCACATCTGTCGGGTAAAGTCATCTCCTTGTGAACTTAGCTCCGCCTGCAAAGAAGAAAGAAATAAGTGTCCCCGTTTCTTGGAATAACCCACATGAACTTGAGCTTCTGTAAGATTATTCCGAGAAAATCAACTCGTTGCTATATAATAGCTTAAGGTAAATTTGTGTTCAGTGTCTCTCTATCTTACGTAGCTTTACTTTCACACAAAAGTAACTTCAATTTATCTAGGAAAAAAATCACTAAAACCTGTTTCAGTAAAAACCAAATAATTAAGGAAACAAATGTTTTTTTCAAATATACTAACACTGTCTTAAAATGCAATGAAGACAGTATATTTTCTAAGCGTTTCTGTAAGTTTAAATAACGTTTTGTGAAGAAATGTGATAACATTTTACGTGGAAGAAAAAAAGGAAGTATATTCATGAATAATAACAACGTTAGAGAGTTATACCCTCAAAACATGACAGTTATGTCAACATTAAAATTAATTTATTTTAAAAACAGACATTAGACCATTTGCCAAGACACTAAACTTATTTTTAAAGAATTATGTTTTTGCAATGACTCAAACTTACCTTTTAAAGACATTAGTCTGTTTGCAATGACACTAACTTACCCTTAAACACATTAGACTGTTTGCAATGACACCAAACTTATCTTTAAACACATTAGATTGTTTAGAATTACACTAAACGTATCTTTAAAGACATTTGATTGTTTAGAATTATACTAAACTTATCTTTAAAAACATTTGATTGCTTGGAATTACACCAAACTTACCTTTAAATACATTAGATTGTTTAGAATTACACTAAACGTATCTTTAAAGGCATTTGATTGTTTAGAATTACACTAAACTTATCTTTAAAGACATTTGATTGCTTGGAATTACACCAAACTTACCTTTAAATACATTAGATTGTTTAGAATTACACCAAACTTATCTTTAAATACATTAGGCTGTTTGCAATGCCCTTAAACTTGAATTGCTTTTATAGTGACAAAAGTGTATAAAAATACATGAAAACGTTACTAAATCACCTTAAGTTTTAAAGAAGACCGCCACTTGTACTTATAAGTAGTTAATATGACACAATAAATATTTTCATTATAATAACACAGATCAAGGCAAAATAAATACAGGAGCAATTAAAGATAAAACAGTAATATCAAGGTTAACAGCCCAACAACCTTGCCAAAGATTAAAATTATTTATCTGTACATTTTGGGATAAGAATAGTTATGTACCGGGCATAGCCTAGTAGCTACCATGCCAGACTGCGGACCCAAATGTCCATGGTTCGCGTCCCGTTCCCGTAAAAATATCGCTTTCAGCACTTTTGTGGATTGGGTGCGTTATAAGGGTGGCGGTCATATTCGCTTGTAGCAGTCCAAGCGTTGGTGGTGAGTGCTATAGACTATAGTATATCAGTTTCAAGATAGGGACGACTATCTTAGGTAGTTCTTTAGTATCTTTGCGTGAATATCCGAAACATTGAATAGTTATTATACGGACTTCGAAATACAATATGTTAGTCGTTCTTGAAGTTCAATCTTAATCACATCTTGGTTGTGAGTTGGCAGCTCGGGTCAAGAATTTTTGCATTCGAGTAGTCCTGACAGCAACCTTAAAGGACGGGGATTCGAATCATCGACCCGTAGATTGCCCTAACTACCAGACCATGCTAGTCCTAAGCTCAGAATTTCTGCTATAACGTAAATCCATATTTGGTTCCTAAAATCACTTTACTAGACGTTAATAATATTATTTTCAATCTTTATAGTAGAAGTATGAAATGACCTGAGAACTGTCCAGTCCTGGTAGAGTTATTTACCATAGGTAGATAAAAAATCAGAAAATAATTCTAATTTTGAATCAAACAACATACAGTAAATAATATTCATCGAAACTCTAAATGAAGTTGTCTATTATGTTTTTGTTCGTACTGCCAAAATTGTTGTGATTTTCATACGGAGATTTAATGTTCCCAAGGAAAAGTTGACACAGAATATTATACAATCTTCATCACACCATTGTTTCTTGGACCTGGCATGACCAGGTGGTTAAGGCGCTCGACTCGCAATCTGAGGGTCGCGGGTTCGAATCTCCGTCCCACCAAACAGCCCTTTCAGTCGTGAGGGCGTTATAATGTTTCGGTCAATCCCACTATTCGTTTTAGTAAAAGAGTAGCCCAAGAATTGGCGGTGGGTGGTGACGACTAGCTGCCTTCCCTCTAGTCTTCCACTGCTCAATTAGGGACGACTAGCGCAGATATCCCTCATGTAGTTTTGCACGAAATTCAAAACCAAAACCAAACCGTTGTTTCTGAATCCACAAAAAACAACAATAACTAACAATCAACGAAAGTGTGACATCTATGCTATCACTATCAGAAGGCGACACCTACTGTGTTTTTATGAAGTTTTTCTCACAAAGAATGAATTAATTGTAGGTTTGTTGCGCCTTATCTTGTTATAATTAACTATGAAAAGTATTCTGTATGTAAAATCTACTTGAGCAAATGTAGGGTGTTACAAAAGTATTTTCAACTACATAGGAAAGGACTGCCACTTTCTGTAAAGACACAAATCACTGAACGGGTAAGCTTCATGACCTATAAAGCTAAAATTCGGGGTTCAATCCCTACGGCAGACAGGGCAAGGTTAGCCTCCATAGCTGGTTTTTTCGCGAAAATAATTAAGGATTTCCGAAAAGATAACGAATTGCCTAATGTATTAAATCTTCCGCCAAATTTTATTTATAAACATTTACATTAATTAGAATATTGAAAGGGATATGTTTTGTAGCGAACTAGTTATATAAGATATATAATATTGAATAAAAATCCTATAACCCGAGCGCTTTCGAAAAGTGGACCTTTCTTCTTCAGGGGCAAACTGGGTTCTAAAAGTGTGACTGATCCACCAAAATAAATCATCAGAACTAGAAAACGGCTTAAGCCTTTGATAGGGGAAATAGCAAAAGCTGCAAGTACAACAAAGGCATAGAAAACCAAACACAGTCAGTCAAATGCTTTCACATACGACATATATTTTCCGTGACGACCTTAGTCCTAACTAGTTTGGGGTCAGCCGGTAATTTTGTAAGCCAAGAAGTCTTATACTTGGGTGGCTGGCCCAGTCGACAACCATATACGACAAGCATGTTTGGCGAGTCGAGAACCTTAACCATCAGGCCTCACATATGACATACGTTTCTTTATTAGAGTCACATATTCACAAATATTCTGATATCATGAATATTCTGAGGGTTGTAAGTTATTTATCCCTGTGTCCCACCCATATTTTGTGGCTCATTTTACCCCATCTGGGGTGTTCAATGTTTCGACTAGGTTAATGACTTTCATCTAGCTGACAGCAACATTTCAATATAATGAATGGTTGTATAAATCCATTAATGTTCGCTTAATGTAATCAACACACTGAAAAAACTTTATGGCAAATAGAAACGCAATTATTCTGGAAGATGGGTAGTGACAACATCTACACCAATCATTCTGGGAGATTGGTAGTAATACCCCTTGACAATGTTGGCATCAATCATTCTGGAAGATGGGTAGTGACAACATCTACACCAATCATTCTGGGAGATTGGTAGTAATACCCCGTGACAATGTTGGTATCAATCATTCTGAAAGATGGGTAGTATTAACCCTTGACAATGTTGGTATCAATCATTCTGGAAGATGGGTAGTAACAACATCTACACCAATCATTCTGGGAGATTGGTAGTAATACCCCTTGCCAATGTTGGTATCAATCATTCTGGGAGATTGGTAGTAATACCCCTTGACAATGTTGGTATCAATCATTCTGAAAGATGGGTAGTGTTAACTCTTTACAATGTTGGTATCAATCATTCTGGAAGATGAATAGTAACAACATCTACACCAATCATTCCGTGAGATTGGTAGAATTACCCCTTGACAATGTTAGTATCAATCATTCTGAAAGATTGTAGTATTACCTCCTGACAATGTCGATATCAATCATTCTGGGAGATAGGTAGTGTTACCTCCTGACAATGTCGATATCAATCATTCTGGGAGATAGGTAGTGTTACCTCCTGACAATGTCGATATCAATCATTCTGGGAGATAGGTAGTGTTACCTCCTGACAATGTCGATATCAATCATTCTGGGAGATGGATAATGTTACCCCCTGACAATTTCTATATGAGCATGGCAATTAATTCGTAAGAAAATATATATATATATGTCGTGTTTTTTGTATATCACTAAAATGACAGGAGTGTAACGTATATATAGACAAAATCCTATTCTATTTGTATACACAGAATTCAAGGAAATAACGTGCAAAGAAAAAGAAACAACAACAACAATGCATGCATCCTTATTATAAAAGAAGTCTGATAATTAGTCCATTCTTTTTGTCATTCCCTAGACTTAAAATAACAGCACTTCAGTATTTGAGATTTGGTAGCAGTTTCTAAAATTTAATCACTTGCAATCCTATTATTCTTCATTCTGTTAGTGTTAAGCAACAGCTTATTAAAATATATTTACTGTCCATCTGAACGTACTTGTTACGCGTAATGTTAATAACATCGTCTTGTTGTTACACGTTGAAAAAGTTATTTTTCCGTCTAACCTGTTTATTTACACCCATTCCAGTAAAACAGTATAGAAAATTTCAAAATTAAAACCTTTATTTTAGAGAGAACGAAAACTATCTAGTTTTATTAAATATCGCTTTATCATATTTTGTGAAACTGATGAAATGTTGTCTTGGTAACGCTTTACAATGTATTACATATGTGTAATGTTTAGTAATTCTGTTTACTTCGGAACTACACAATATATATCTTGGTAACGCTTTACAGTGT